TATATATATATATATATATATATACACATTTATAATTGTGACATCTGGTTATTACCATTATTGCGCATCTGTGGAGTTCAGGGGGAAAAGAAAGAAAAGTGTATTTTGTCACAAAATCGTTTGATTTGTTTCACAGTTCTGTAAAGGCAGTGAGGAGGAGGACATGGTGCTTTTGAGGTGCGTGTCAGCAGTGATGGGTTGTAATGTAGGTGCCTCTTCAGGAAGTAAGATCTGAATAATACAAGATCAAAGTGTGCCAATGTGACATTCATTAGTGGTTGCTTCCCTGCGCCTCTCTCTCTTTTCTCCTCTTTCTTCCCCTCTCTTTCTTCCTCTAGCCTGTTTTGCTTTGCTCTCTTCCCTTTCTCTCTCCCTCTCTGTTCCTTTTTTTGTTGCTGCATCTTTGTTTTTCTCCTTTTCTCACCCTCTTTTTCATTCGTCTCCCTTAGAATCTCTCTATTTCTCTTCGTCAGGTTCAACCAGTCCTTTAATTCAGCAGCTCTTGTGTCTCATGTAGTCGGAGCGGAGTGAGGAGAAAGCTTTATCATGCACCAGCAGCGGACGTGAGCGTAAGCCTTTGAACATTTGGCACAGACAGGGGAAGAGGCGTAGAGCGCACTTCTCGCCTCTTTGTGACGCTCTCGCTGACCGCAGAAGCCTTTTCATGATATGAGAAAAGCACTGGGCGTCTGAGGAGAATTTGGGAGCGGTGAGCTACATGCAGCTCACGAAGTGTGTTTTACAATACTGTGGAAATACTACACTGTGTGTAGACCGTACTTCAGAATTTGAGTTGTAGCGCTCGAAGCTCTTTTTATTTGAGCAAATTGGTTTCTTTATTTAATGAAGTAATTTAAAGGTGTTCCATGTCACTTTGTATTTCAATTTTGTATTAAAATACTCTTTTTGTTAAACTCGTCATGAATTTAAAAACAACCCTGTTTAATTCTTGCACAATATTCTGAACGATTCATTTGTGCGTGAATCAATTAGAGTTAATTATAGTAGTCACATAATATGATGATAATAATAATAATAATAATAATAATAGTAAAAATAACAGAAATAGTAGATATAATTAATTGTCTGATAATATATTCTAATATACAAATATGGCAAAACTATTACTTTACAGTTCTATAGTATTATTGAATTATAGCATTCGAATATTTATTTTGTTTACATTTGATTAAAATAATAATAATAATATATTCATAATTATAGTAAAATGCGATTTATATATATATGTGTGTGTGTGCCATTCATTATTTATTTTTTATTATAATTTTTTTTTAAATGACCTTTAACAGTTTTTTATTTTGTCTTTAATGTCCAATGGCAGAAAGAGGGAGCGTTCTGGAAATCTGTTCTATTTGGTGACACTAGTGGTGCAGAAATTACTCACTTCACCTTTAATATACAGTTGTGAAATGGTTTAGAAGTGCTGCACAAATCTGTTTCCACCACTTATGTCAAGCTCAATTCATTCTGGAGTTCATGGCGAACGCGTGATAAGAAACTGCTCCCACGCAACTCTTCTATTATGACTTTTTGAGACATGACTAGAGTATGAGACTAGAGTACAGATCAGAGTCCTTGTCCTCCCCTGCCAAACGCCAACAAAATCTTCCTCTGTAACCATAGCAACGAAACCAACCTACATCTTTGTCTCGGTGCAGTGTGTGGAAAGTTGACAGATCAGTGTTGTTTGTGACGTGTCTGGCATTCTTATTTTTTTCACCTTGAGGTGCCAACTCTGTCAGATGTGGGCTCAGTCGTTAAATGTCTTAACTGAACAAATCATCAGTGTTATTGATGTAAATGAGTCATTTTAAACTGTTGAATGTGAAGCTTTGCTCTGTGGTCATTTTCTGTGTGCAATGCCTGAATGAATGGATTGTGTTTGTGTGTTTTTGGTTTTCTTTTCTGATATCTTTTGATGAAAGCGTTCGTTCACTCTCTTTGATCTGTCTCCCTTTCTGTCCATCTCACACCACCTGCTCTCCGTCACCTCTGCTTGAAAGATGAAAAGTATTGAGAAAGGGAAAGAGAAGACGTAAAATAACTAGATTCATTTGAAAAACCATCTTGGAAATAGGGTGTAATGGATGGTTGCTAGGGCGCTAAATTAATAAATAGTGGTCTAAGTGTCTTTAGTGTATTGCTAGGGCACTGATAGATGGTCGCATAGGTGTTCAGAGTTTTTAGTGTGTTGTTATGCAGTTGCTAGGGGGTTCTGGGTGGGTGATAGGGTGTTGCTAATGTGTTCTGAGTGTTTTAGCTCATTGTTCTGTGGTTGTTAGGGTGTTCTGGGGGGATACTAGGGTGTTACTAAGGTGTTCTGATTGTTTCAGTGCATTATGTGGTTGCTAGGGTCTTCTGAGTGGGTGCTAGGCTGTTGCTAAGGTGGTCTGAATGTTTTAGCTCATTGTTCTATTGTTGCTAGGGTGCTCTTGGTGGATGCTAGCGTGTTACTAAGGTGTTCTGGTTGTTTCAGTACATTATGTGGTTGCTAGCGTCTTCGGAGCGGGTGTTAATGTGTTGCTAAGGTGTTCTAAGCATTTTAACTCATTGTTCTATTGTTGCGACTAGAGGGTGTTCTGGGTGGATGCTAGGGTGTTACTAAGGTGTTCTGAGTGTTTCAGTACATTATGTGGTTGCTAGGGTCTTCGGAGGGGGTGCTAGGGTGTTGCTAGGTGTTCTGAGCAATTTAGCTCATTGTTCTATTGTTGCTAGGGTGTTCTGGGTGTATGCTAGGGTGTTACTAAGGTGTTCCGGTTGTTTCAGTACATTATGTGGCTGCTAGGGTCTTCGGAGTGGGTGCTAGGGTGTTGCTAGGTTTTCTGAGCATTTTAGCTCATTGTTCTATGGTTGCTATGTTAGTGAGTTTTGGTTATTAGGGTGTTTTGGGTGGTGTCTAGGGCTTTGTGGTTGTTGTGGTTGCTGTAGGAATACTAGGGTGTGTTGTGTTGGTACTGGGGTGTTTCTAAGGTGTTCTGTGCGTTTTAGCGCATTGTTTTGTGATTGCTAGGGTGATCTGGATGGTTGCTAGGGCTTTGTGGTTAGTGAGTTGCTATACGAATGCTAGGGTGTTCTGAGTTGTTGCTGGGGTGTTGCTAAGGTGTTCTGAGTGTTTTAGTGCATCCAGAACGCTGCTGCCAGAATTCTGACTAGAACCAGAAAATCTGAGCATATCACACCAGTCCTCAGGTATTACGCTGGCTTCCAGTTAAATTTAGGATTGATTTTAAAGTACTTTTACTCGTTTATAAATCACTCAATGGCCTAGAACCTAAATACATAGCAGATATGTTCACTGAATATAAACCTAACAGACCACTCACATCATTAGGTTCGAGTCAGTTAGAAATACCGAGGGTTCACACAAAACAAGGGGAATGTGCTTTTAGTTATTATGCCGCCCGCAGTTGGAATCGGCCTCCAGAAGAGATCAGATGTGCTAAAACATTAGTCACATTTAAATGCAGACTTAAAACTCATCTGTTGAGCTGAGCATTTATTGAATGAGCACTGTGCAATGTCCGAACTGATTGCACTATATTTTATGTATAATCATTTTCTATTCTTAACTGTTTTAAATTCATCTTAAACCTCTCTATATATATTTTTTTTATTTTCTTTTATGTTAAGCACTTTAAATTACCATTGTGTATGAAATGTGCTATTTAAATAAACTTGCCTTGCCTAGTGCATAAAAGTGAAGTGACGTGACGTGTGGCCAAGTATGGTGACATACTCGGAATTAGTGCTCTGCACTTATCCCATCCAAGGTGCACACACACAACAGTGAACACACACACAGACCGTGAACACACACACACAGCAGAGGGCAGCCATTTTTTTTCTGCGGCGCCCGGGGAGCAGATGGGGGTTTGGTGCCTTGCTCAAGGGTACCTCAGTCGTGGTATTGATTGTGGGAGAGAGAGCGCGCTGTACATTCACTCCCAACTACAATCCCTGCCGGTACCAGACTCGAACCCGTAACCTTTGGGTTACGAGTCCGACTCTCTAACCATTAGGCCACAACTTCCCGTGTATTGCTGTATATTTGCAAGGGTGTTTTAGCTCATTGTTCTGTGGTTGTTAGGGTGTTCTGGGTGGTTTCTATGGTGTTGCTAAGGTGTTCTGGTTGTGTTAGCACATTGCTGTTTGGTTGGTAGGGTGTTTTGGATGGTTTCTCAGACTTAGTGGTTGTTAGTAAATTGCTGTGTGAATGCTAGGGTGTTCTGCGTTGTTACTGGGGAGTTGCTAAGGTGTTGTGTGCGTTTTAGCACATTGTTTTGCGGTTCCTAGGGTGTTCTGGGTGGTTGCTAGGGCTTTGTGTTTAGTGAGTCATACGAATGTTATGGTGTTCTGAGTTGTTTCTGGGGTATTGCTACGGTGTTCTAAATGTTTTAGTGCATTGCTGTGTAGTTGCTAGGGTGTTTTGGGTGGTTGCCAGGGCTTTGTTGTTATTACTGAGTTGTGGTTGCTAGGGCTTAGTGGTTGTAAGTAAGTTACTATACAAATGCTAGGGTGTTCTGAGTTGTTGTTAGGGTGTTGCTAAGGTGTCCTGAGTGTTTTAGCACATCATTATGTGATTGCTAGGGTGTTTTGGGTAGTTTTAGTGTGCTGCAATACAGTTGTTTGAGCATTCTGGTGATTGCTGTCGCTTTGCTAGGTGGGTTCTAATGAGTTCTGAATAGGGCTGCGCAAATAATCGATTCGATTCGAGTTCTGAATAATTTTTTGTGCGTTGCTATGCAGTTGCCGGGGTGTTCTGGGTTGGTGTTAGGGCTTTGCTATGTAGTTACGAAAGTGCTCTGAGAACAAGTTAATGATATAACTAGTGAAAAATGTGAGTGTGTACAGTAGTTTGAAAATGTCATGGTTTGATATACAGTGCATCTATATGTGGCCATTAATGACTGAATAATGCTATTTTTCTCTCGCTGTCTCTTCTTGATAGGTGTCTCTCCTGTGTGAATGGCTCCTTTCCATGCCACTGGTGCAAATATCGACACATGTGTACCCACAATGCCAATGACTGCTCTTTCCAGGAGGGCCGCGTCAACATGTCTGAGGTCAGTCTGTCCAATACAATACATACATTTACACGCAAAGCACTTTCTGCACACATCTCGCCTTTCATTTAAACGAAAATTGCTTTTCATGTTTGCGACCCATCACCAACAAATCCAGGGGTGCAGATGCACACATGGGCGGTCATGTCCCATTTGCGAGCGTTGTTCTTTTTGCGCTGGCTTTGTGTGAGCAGCTGTTCTAAGGAGAGCGGTGCTGGATTAATGCACTTATAAACAGCACTGACTGAATGACTATGCAAATTGTATCGTGTTATACATTTACAAATGCTACATTTGCATAAAAACCGATATCAATCACATCTCTCCCTCCTTTTCGTATGAGCTCTGGAAGTGTGTGAGGCGGCATTACACGTATACAGTGGGTTATGATTACCGACGCACACACGCATCAATCCTCCACATGCCCGTTCTCGACTGCCGAAGTCATCTCAGGGGAGCATTTGTATCTCAAACCACTTCGGGTCGACCAGGGGGCTGTTCACGCGCTCTGCAGCTGTTAAACAGTGCTTTCGCTGTTGAGAGGGGCATTTGGGTGTAATGTACATAAATGTTTACCATTTTCCACACAGCCTTATCGCTGTTCACTCCCTAACACCTTCCTGCTGTGCTGCAGTATCCAATTCCTCAGTATTAGTTGATTTCAGATCCCAGCTCAATGCATTTGTATCTTGCACCTGAGTAGTAGCCACTGCTGTACACCGTAATTTTTGTTAATGTAAGTCTTATTATATACACTTAATTTATAATAGTAATAATATTATTAATGTTATTATTGTTGTTGTTGCTGTTTTAAAAATATCAATTAAAATAATAATATTTGTTATTAGTAGTAGTATTTAATAATAATAATGTGTTGACATTATGTTATCATATTAACATATAATAATAATAATAACAACAAATAAAAAAATATTTTACATTATTTTTGTGTTTCAGTTTTCATGATTTTAATTGTTTTTTTGTATTTTTGTGAGTTATTTATTTATTTATTATTGTGAATAGAGTCAATGCTAAAGAAAGCAGTTAAGCGCAATGTGCAGCAAAATGTCTTTAACCCTTTATCCTTGACTATATTCATAATGTATAAGGGCCTCGATAGCTCTATTGATTTTGTAGAATGGTTACTGCATAATGCAAATATCAAGGACACAGTTTTTCATTAAGATGATATTTTATTAAGCAAATTCTTTTTTTTAAGTCGCTCTGGTTAAAAGCGTCTGCTACATAAATAAATGTAAATTCATTAAGTATAATCCTTGAGCTAGAAAATAGTCTATCTTTGACAGTTAGTATTACACCTAGATTATTATATTATAGATGATTCATTTGGACAGTAGCTAGATGTCATTACGTCATATCCTGACATGAGGTCATGAAGAAGTTGCCATGACGTGTGTAGAGAGTAATAAACACTGTAAAAATGCTCTTGACATGGCGGTTGGTGGTGTGGTGTTTATTGGGTGGAGACACTGGTAGGGTTTTGGGGTTGAATGTGTGGAATTGAGGCAGGGAGTGAAGGATAGGTGTTTCGGATCTGGTATCTTCAGGTAGCGGCGGTTAATAACCAGTGGTTGACGTGAGATTTCGGAGATTGCTTTTCATTATTATCTGCAGTGGGGTGTCAAAAGCGAGTGAAGGTGTCTACCTAGACAGTATTTCTGGAATCTTAGAAGAAATCTGGTGATGACTACAAAAGTAAACATAAGGTTAACATGTTGTCATTCCAGAGTCTACTTTTATACTGTTTGATAATAATAATAATAAGAAGTAAACAAATAATATTTTGAATAATAATAATAACAATCATATTATAATGCTTTAAGTAAATAATTCTTAAAGTAATAATAACAAATGATTTTTGTGGTTGTATTTATGGAAACTGTATTTGCAGATAAACCTTTATTAAAAATTATATATCACAATGTTCACTCTAGAAAAATTATTCAAAAGCCTAAAACTTAAAAATATATATATAAAAGATGATGATGATTATTATTATTATTATTATTGACAGGGAATAAACAGGTGAACTCATTCAATCTGACCAAGAGAAAATTGCTTTAGTGAGCCACACTTGAGAAGAAAATAATATTAATGATAATGTTAATAATGATGATGATGATTATGTTAATGTTAATAATGATGATGATGATGATAATAATAATAATAATTCTTTCTTTCTTTCTTTCAACAAGTTATAGGCAGGCTTTTCCACATATACATCCGCAAATACAGTTCCCTCAGTCCCTTTCAGAATTACTTTATCTCTGCCATTATTAAAACTTAGTCTCCGAATAACCTTACCTTAAAAAGTAGCCAAACATCCTCGCGAAGATATGAAAGATAAACCATGCCGTCACAGAGCGTAATGAGTCACATTTGCAAATCAAATGTATATAAATCAACATTTGCCTGACAGCGGATAAACAGAGGAACACATTAAATCTGACCAGGCGGAAAATTGCTTCAGTAAGCCACACTTGAGGAATCCACAAGGAGAAATAAACAAACATACATATAAACAAACAAACAAATAGCGCCGCTAACACATTTGTTCCAGCATTCATTATTTGTGAACCCAGCTGTCGGCCAGTAGCTCATTTAGTCACACTTGGACAGCGGTTTTGCCCTTTGCTAGTGCCAAAAGTGCCCGACCATTTCACAGATCCGCACCGAAGGTCGTGCAGAGCCGGAATATTGAAATGTGTCCTGCGTTCAGCATCGTTTTGGATTAATAGTGGAGTCGGTGTGCATCACGCTGTTTTCTGTTTCCAGCCTATACAGCATGTGTTGATATGCAGGCACGCTCATAATGTGCCAACATTGGTTGTCCGTAAATGGACCAGAGAGACTGAATGAAAGCCGCTGACCCACCTTGGGAACCCAAGATTGCCGTAGTTGCTTTCATCCAACCCTTTTGAGATGCAGTCGCCCTGTTCATAAGCGTAATGAATGGAGTTTGTTTTAAGGATGATGAAACTGGTGTTACGGCTGCGTTCTCCCGCTCATTTGAGACTCATTAGTGTGCGTCTCCGATGAGACAAATGGGGGTTTTGATAAATAAGTCATAGGGTGGTATATCGCCAAGGAACTGCTCGATGCACCCGTGGGATCCTGCGATTCAGTAATGCTCTGCCTTGCATTTGCTCTTATAAACAAAGACATGTCACCCATGATAATAGCAGAAACAGCAAAGGATTGTGGGGGTGTTTGTCACCAGTTGGGTGCATGTGTGGTTTTAAGACTTGTAGTGTAAATAGGACAGTATATAGCTCTCATAATTCATTCGGAGCTGTTAGCATTAAAAGCTTTCTGCTCAAAGCTATTGTACCTACATTGTTGTTTGGTAATAAAATAACTTGCACTGCTTCCCGCAAATATTTTATCCATAGCGTTTCAAAAGCTTTCCTGGGTGGTACGAGGACATAAGACGGTAATATAGTTGTCAGCAGGAAGATAATTCAAAGAAAGCCTACACAGACACCAAAAACAAGTCATTCTTTTGTCTTCTTGAAAGAAGGCTATATTCTCCGGCTTTCACAGCTTCAATTATAATCAGTATCACTAATATGCTGCTGCCGAATATGGAAGCTGCACAGTTGAGTTGATCAGAGACTTTTTTATCAGGACATCCATCGTGTTTATACTTTCTTCCTTTTTGCTTTCAGAGACTTAATTAAAAATGAGAAGACATTTAGATTTCATTTTGTCACCGGAGCCCGTAATTTCATTTTTAGATCCTTCATAATGTCTGTGTTTGGTCCATAAAGCTTTAAACTGTTAAAATAATAGAAACTGAGTCTTGTGTGCATCTGCAGAAAAGTAATTGATTTATTAATGTTTGGAAAAGTAACTAGTTAAATATTATCTTTAACCAGTTGTTTATTCAAGTCATAGATTGGCCCATATATATAATAATAATAAATTGTGATTATATTTTATGACTACTGTGCACATTTCATATTAATGTAAAGCAAAAATAAAAAAAAACTCATACTCATTACTGTAACAAAAAATAATTATATTTATGCAGATTTATGATGTTTTATATTAATGAGAATCTAATCAAAATCATCAATAAGAATAATGAGACTTAAAAAAAACACATCCAAACACATGGTAATGATCATTTGGGGCAATTTTGTTAATTATTATTATGAAAATATTGTTGCAATAAAATAATAGTAATTAAATCAGTTTAATTTACTTTATGTACAATATAATTTTTTATTTATTTACTTCTTAATATGATTAGTTGTATTAATATATTATATACATTATCATAAATATATCATTTTAAAATAATTTTTATTGCTTTTGATTTTTGGGTAAAATGTGACCTGGACATGTCTTATCGTACAGTTTAGATGAAAAATGACCCAAGACGTCCTATTTAATTTTTTTCTTGTCCAAACATAGTGCCATGTTCCAATTTGCAGCATCTTAGTTTTCGGTTATGTAGGACGTGATGCTTTTGTGTCAGACCTTGATTTAATCTTCAATATGTATGCATGTCTCTTATAGCACATGCATAATATGAATAGAATACATAAACACTGAATTAGATTCTTAATGGGCCGGCCATATCTTCCTCACTGACCTCTAGCACTAAACTGAATTGCACTTGCACAGGTTTGATCTGGTCTTTGTTTCCTAATGCATGTGGAGAGCAGCATCCACTTCTGGCTTCCCAACTCCATCCAGCTCTGATTTACCGTCTGTCCCGTTTCGCTGTCAGGTGTTTTTTCATCCTTCGCTCCCTCTCTCTCTCTCACTCATTCCCTCTCTCAAAGAGAGCTCCCACAAACACTCTGCAAATTCCTGTCTCCCATGCCGAGGACGGAGCTCAGAGAAGCCGTTCTCTGGATCAGTATTGCAGCAGCTGTGCCAAGAGCGCATGCCTCACCTCGTGCCATTTCAGTTCCTCGAGTGACTCCATATCAAATGCTACCTTCATCCTACCCCGTCGCCTCATCCTC